TTCGGTCTACAGGGTATTCCCATGTCATGAATGCAATTGATGCAATTGTTGCTTTGCTGTAAGTTTTTTTTGTATCTGTGCAGTTATTGTTGTTGCTGCTCTTTCTTTTGTGTGTGTGTGTGTGTGTGTGTGCAATGTTTCGATAGACATTTCTTGGCAAGTTGCGTGCAATTCATTAAGCGAATTCTGCTCGAATGCGAATAATGCAAATTGCTCTATTTCGGGCTAACTGCAAAAACGCCAACAACGACGACGACAAATTTATTTTTTGCTGCCCATGTGGCATGTGGCAACTGGCAATGTGGCAAGTCGAAGGAGCGAAACTTCCATCAATGAAACCAAATGAAAAGAAATTAAATGAAATGAATGCCGTGTGTTATGCAGACTGAAGAAGCGTTTGCACTAAAAGTTCAAAAATTCCATTAATTACTCTTCCTTTCTCTCTCCCTCTCGCCCTGTATAAACTTCTTCATCTGGCTCTGCTTCTTCCATTCTTATTTGTCGAGTGCTAATTTTTAAGAATTTGAAATTTTCTTAATGGATTCGCTGTGTTGCCCTGCCGCACGGATTGTGAAATAGTTTTGCCTTTTGGCTTGGGAATCAAGAGTTTTTGACTTTCGTTCGGCTTCTTCCTCTTCTACTTCTGCGTGTGTGTGTGTGTGCCATTTTTTTTTTTTTTAACCCTAAATTGTGTCTGCTTTACATACACATTATTCCCACCCCTCGCTGGGCCGGATGTGCTCATTGTGCATCATCATCAACAACTACTTATCACCCAGGGGAATATGCAGCTAGCCCAGCTGCAGCTGCTGTTGATGCTGATGCTGCTGGTGTTGCTGCTCTCGCTCCCAGTCCCAATCCCAATCCCAAAGTCCAACTACAACTCCAACTCCCAGTTGAAGTCCGAGTTCCAACTTTTGTCGCATGCCTTCAAAAATGCGTAAATCAAACGAAAAACAAACGGGCAACGGCTTGCCCATGAATTAGTATTAGTGTAAAACGGCTTTTAATAAGCCGGACGGACGAGCGGACGAGCGGGCGAGCGTACAGACGGACAGGCGGACGGACGGCCTAAGGCCCGCATCTCTATCCGCAGCCATTGCATGTTGGGCGCCATTAAGTGGACCAGGATGGTCTAAAAGGGCGGCAGGGGGGTGGGTCAGCAGCAGCGAGTAACGGGGCTTCGGCATCCGGCATCCAACGACAAAGTCAATTGCGGTAGCCGCAAAATGGAATTTTGTTTTAAAAAGTTCTGCACTGCAAAATGGCTCGCAATGGGCGCATAAATTTCAAAAGCCCTTCTACACTGCTTGCTTTTTACCCTAACGGGCAATACGAGTTTGTCGTAAATGATGTCACACAATGCTCGAAATGTAAATGTATATCAAAAGTTATATATATTATCCATAAGCATCATAGTATTTGATCTGCCTAGTGTCTATATTACTATCAATTACTATATATTACTACACTATTATCAGGCAGTTAATCATACGTTTGTGACATAGTATGAATAACTGCTTGATAATTAAGTTCTTATAGGAAACACTTACATATATAAAATGTGCATTACTAAAATAGGGTAGTAGATATGGTATCCATATTTGAATACTATGTGTACAATATAGAGCATTATATAGTATAACATTTCGATCGTAGTAATTATATAACATTGACGCCTTGACTTTACATTTTTTTTTTCTTTTTTTTTTTTAAGTCAACCCCAAGAGCAATTGAGAGGTCCCAAGATGTGTTTAAAACTGCTAAAGCAATCATAGCACATAAATCAAATTTCTCATTGTTTCACTATTATAACTAAATCGTGTATTTCTTCTGTTTTCTATATACTCTGTATTTCATTTTATGATTTTATGATCTTATTATCATGTTTACTATATGATATCCTTATCTTATTATATTATTGAAGTATAACGAACAAAATTTGAGCCAATAGATTGCTATAACATATATGTATTTGACATAGCTTTGTACTCACATATCAAACATATAAGTATATAAAAACAAAGTCATATCAATAATCTATATATACATATAAGTTAATAGAATATTTAGCTCAATTCGAAAAGTGAACATGCAACTGCTTATTGCTGTAGAGTATTATAATATGTGTAGTATAATATGCTATATATGTACATATGTATAAGATATAGTGTTCAATATCTGAAATTTATAAACAAAAGTCAGTAAGTGTATCTAATATTCGTAGCGCTGTCATCTAGAGCTTGCTTTTCTATATTTGCTTTTTTTTTTCGTTTTTTTTTTTTCTCTTTGGTTTTTAGTTATAGCCATAATCTTTGTGTAGTGGGGAATCCCATAACTTTTGCAACAAGCTGGCAACGCTGTTCGGAAACTATTAATTTGAAATAAATACAGTATATATCATTTCAAATGGCTCAAAGGTGGCTTTCAAATGTGTGTGTGTGTGCATCCCCCCTCTAGTTATAATTTAGAACGTATTTAAAACCACATTTTGGAATAGTAGCGAAAGGAGTGTAGAGAGAGAGGGAGACAGCGAGAGAGAGAGAGAGAGCGAGAGAGAGATCCCAAGTTAACTTTAAGCACAGATGTGTTAGCCATTCCTGTGATACATGGCCCTAAGACAGCGATATCAATGTATTATTATTAGCGCATAAAAGTTGGGAAAAACAAATTATGCGCCTTATGCTGGCAAAATGGAGGAAAACCGAAAAGTTTCATAAGTATTAACGAGTATGTCGGACATCGGGTCGGTCCGCTGCATGCTTAGATAGCTGATCTATGTATTTTGTTGTTTCTTTACTTTTCATTCCTTTTGGCAATTTCAAACATGCAACATGTTGCAATGGAGTTATAAACCAGCCCCAAATTTCAAACTTTGCAGACGACTTATATAAGGAGTGTACATAGACGTATAGAAGATGACAGAGGGGGTGGGGATGGGGGCTGGGTCGGGTCGGAGGGGTTGCCGCGTTTAAGGGCAGCATGCCAAATGGAAAAAAAAAACAACTTTTTTTGCCTTAATTTTTGGCGTTTTTATATTTTTCGTTTTTTTTTCGTTTATTCTGCCGCTTTATTAACGTTGCCCTGTTTTAGTAGGGGTGACCTGTGTTGGGTGGCACGTCGAGAGGGGCGGCTATGGAGGGGCTGTTTGTTTGCTGGCAGCAGCGCAGTAAGTAATATTTTTGCCGCATAAAAGTCAAAATATGCAAATAAAGCTGCTGCCGCTGTTGCTGTTAGGGGTGGGGGGATGGGGCCGTTCGAGGGGGTACACAAGTAGCACGTAAGAGTGGGACAAACGGCGAGGAGCAGAGGGCATGGAGGGAGGGCTAATATAGCAGCAGTCAGACACAGAGACACAAACCGAATGGCTAGAACAATGTGCATATAGATCAGAGAGTGAGCGGGAGAGAGAGAGAGAGAGAGAGAGAGAGAGAGTGGGGTAGAAGGAGCGAGCGAAAGAGAGAGTGAGAACGGCGTGGCTTAAATAATAAATGTAGTACACGCTTTGAAAGAATTTACTATGCTTTGGCAAATGGAAGTTATAAAAACCAAATACAAGCACACACACACACACACACACACACACTTACGTTCACTCAAACACATTTGCACACACACACACAGGCACATGTGCATGGCATATAAATAAACAATGCCCCTATATAACCCGAGGCAAACCGAAGTAGTGGAGAGGTAGCGGCATTTCCATATTGTTGCTATAATCAGCGGCTGCTTTGATTCATCTGCATGCACGCGCGATGCCGGGACATTGAAGCCATTGGCTGTGGAATGGGCCAGAGAGATCGGGCGGGGAATACTACCACCACCAAGTCAAAGCCAAAGCCAGAGCCATAGCCATAGAGCTATAGCCGTAGCTGTGCTGTAGCTGTAGCTAAAGCTAAGTCCAAAGCCTTAGCCCTTGTGCCAGCCACCCCATCATCATCATCATCATCGGCATCGTCATCGTCATCGTCATCATGATCATCATCGTCATCAAAGTCAACCCAGCACTGGGCGAAGCAACCACCAAACAGTCACACAGACTCCGTTGATTCCGTTGGCCCAACTTCAACTCCGACTTTTGGCTGTGCCGTGCAATTTAGTGCTGCCCACATTATAAAGCACGATACAATACGAAAAGAAATTTATAAAATTTTTTTTTACAAAAATGCTGTATAATAAAAGAATTTTCTAATAATTTATATATACATATATATTTTCGTATTGCCAGCTCATTATTATGCGAGCGAGTAATTATTTCATACAACAAATCAAATAATTTGCTTTGTTTATTGGTTCGGTCGCGCGGCGATAAATAATCACGACCCGCTTGCATTACTAATGTCGTTCAAATATCGTTTCGAACATGTTCGTGTTCGGTGTTGGAAATCGTGTTCGAACAACAACCACTGACTGACGCCCCTTTTCAGTATGTGCGGCCAGTGTTGGAAAGCCTGGCCGTGGCCTTGCCCATAAAACTAGCCAGAAAAATGCTAAGTTCCACAAAAAAGGCAGCTAAAAATAACGATTTAAGTGTTTTAGCCAAAATATTAGAAATTTAATTTAAATTAAATTGATTTATTTTATTTTTAAAATTATTTATTTTTGTTTTTACAGAAGTCTGATTTATGTGAGTCATTAATATTAGCATTAAATAAAATCAATAAAGTTAATTGTACATGTTTTTCATACATATAACTATATTAAAATATATTTTATTAACAAATTAGCAGCCATTACAGAAAACTGTGCAAAGGTAAACTAACAAAATAGTCTATTTTGCTCGTTGTGGAAGAAAAAGAGCTAAAAGTAGCCATTTTATGGCTGAAACAGCTGTGTGCTTAGCAGCCCTTTCTTTACTCTGCTCTCTGGGACTCGCTGTGTGCGTTCGTGTGTATGAGTGTGCTGAGTGCCTCTGTGTGCGATTGTGTGTGTGCCGCTCTGTGTATGGGTGTGCGTGTGTACTTGTGTGTTATCTCGCAGCCTGGTTCTGGTTCAGTTTTCGTTTTCCGTTAGTGCAGCATTTATCCTCGACGACGTTGGTTGGCCTCGCCTTCGCCCTCAGCCATTGTCACTGTCGCTGTCGCAGTCGCCGTCGAAGTCGAAGTCGCAGTCGTTTGTCGCCTTGTCGCTAGTGTTGTTATTTATTTGTGTGTGCATTTTTTTTTGTTTTTTGCTGCTTCTGCTGCTCTGCTCTGCTCTCGTTGTGTGTGCACGTTTTATTTATTGTTGTCGTGTGTTGTTTGTTTGTGTTTTTGTTATGGTGCCAGTGCCAACTTACCTGATATAAAAAAACAACACACACACACAGAAAAAAAAAACAAACTCAAACAAGGTGCGCAGACCTGGAGTCAGGGCCACGGCACATGTTGTTAGTTAAACCAGCGCCCCAGAACGCTTGCCTCACATCCCCCAGCCCCTTCAAGAAGCCCGGGACACTAACCAATAAGTAAACCCCAAAAGGCAGCAGCAACAACAGGAGCAACAACAATAACAGCTACAACAAGACGCAAAGTAAATTCAAAACGAAACTAAACGACACAGACGAAAGTCCACAGTTCACCGCAATAGTTACAGTTACTCTCACGCCGCGTGGTTTCAATCGCAGCATGCTTTCAGCTGAGACACAGTTATTGCTGTTGTTCGTGTTGTTGTTGGCGCAGCCAAAGCTCTGAGCAATCGCCAAATCACAAACACAAAACGGCAAACAGTAACAACAACAACAACAATAACAGGAAGAAGGAGAAGAAGAACAAAACAAATAGAAATACACAAAACGCGCTGCGTCCGTTGCTTCACTAAATGCAGTCGACGTCAATGTTGACGTCGCTGTCGTCACAGTCGTCGCGTATTATGGGCCTAACCAAACAGCAACAACAACAACAGCAGCAGCAACAACAACGCCAACTTCAACAGCACTTGATACAAAAATAAACAAACAAAATCAATCAATTAATCAATCTGTGAACGCCCCAGGCGTACGCCCTCGCTCTTGTACATCCACGCCCACGCCCACGTCGACGCCCACGCTCGCTTTAAACTGCAACAGCAGCAACAACAAAAACAACAACATCAATAACAAGAGGAAGGACATATATAGCAACAGCAACAACAATGTTCCAGTCAATTGCATTAGTGCTCGTCCTGGTTGCCGCCCAGTCTGTGGCCCAGGCTCCGAAGGATGCGAATAGAAACGCTGCCGCTGCCGCTGCCTCTGCCTCTGGCTCTGGCTCTGGCTCTGGCGCGCCTGCTGTCCAGCTGCAGGCAACGGAGACACAAGCGGCGACAGCAGCAGCAGCAGCGGCGGCGGCGGTAGCAGCAGCGACGCCATTCAGCAGCAAACAGCTCACCAGATGCCGCCAAAGCTGCTATCAGCAGGTAAGCCCGGCTCAGGCCACTAAAGATAAGACGCACTTGATGGACACTTGTATGTAGGACTCGCCTGCTCGCCTGCTCGCCCGCTCACTCCCTTGCTCTCTCTCGCACCCTCTCGCTCCCTCTTACGGTCGACTGCGACGAAAGACGCTCGAGTGCGACTTCAAGGTTAGAGGCTCTCTCAGTGACTCTAGCTGCAGCCCCTTCCCCTCCACCTGGTCCAGTTGGGCAATGACAATGGGTCCGACAAGGGCAACGCCGGCACTGGGAAAACAGTTCGATACTCTGTTCAGAAACTGAAGTGGGGTATATGTGATGGTGATGGATTGATGGTACGGGAGTTACGGCATTGAAGTAGGCGGAGGCAAATACTCATGTTCATGTCACGTCATGTTTGTCTAAACTTGTTTAATTATGTCAGCCACGCCCTCCCCCATCAGTGGGTAGGCAACACACAGGTTAACACGGGTGAAAAGTTTGAGTAAACAACAGATATGCTGGTGGTTGGACAATCACCCATAGGTTTGAGAGCCATTGCAGTAGACTGGGCCTGTAGAGTCTTTGCGAGATTTTGTATTAGCAAAAAGGACGATTGCGTGACACGATCTACTCACGAGTTTGACATGTTAAGTATTACAGTTTTTAAGTCTTCAGTAGATCTTAAAGATAGCAGCGTCTAGTCTTAGAGTCATTGTAATGCCTAGCCAATAGCTTGCCCTTTAGTCATCATAGATGCTAATGTAAAATGTGGGCATTAGTATCAATGATGACATCGTGACACGCCCTACACTTTGAAAGCTATTATCCGCCTTCAATAAAAGTGAAGCACTGGGCCTACTACAGTCTACGATTCACTGTTAGATCTTTGTATTAGTATACAACAAATTGCAGCATGACACGCCCCATAAATTAATGTTCTTTTTCTTAAGTTAACAGTTTTCAAGTCAATGACTAGGCATTACGATCTTTAAAGCAATAGGAGAACAGTTTTGGAGTTATCGTAGGCCCTTCATTAGTATAGAGATGACAGTGTGCTACGCTTTTTTCACGCCTTGCAAATAATTTATTTTCTTCTGTAAAGTTGATGTTTACTTTCAGGTGATTAGATTCGATTTAGTTAAGATTGGAGCAATCATCGTGACAATCATTGCATACAAAAAGAGACAACGTGTCACGCTTTATTCACGACATATGTATTCGATCTGCTACATAGTTACAGTTTGAATGTGACTGCCTAGGCATTCTAGTTTCTACTGTAGAGGGAAGGTGGCGATTCTTCAGACATCGTAAGCCCCTTAATGAGTATCAAGAGATGACAGCGTGACACGCTTCGCTCACGAAGTTTCCCAGTCTCAGCCTCGCCCGGGCGGGATTCCTCTCAGCTCGAGCAAAACAGGGTATGACGCAGTCGTTTCTACGCGACTGCAATGTTCTCACTGGTTTCTTATTTTCATTTTATTTTTTTTATGTGGCTGCCCGCCTTTATCTGCTCGCTGACATCGCTGCCGCTGTCGCTGTCGGTGCTGCTGCTGGTGCTGCTGCTGGTGCTTCTCAGGTAGCTGCCTCTGTCAGTTGACAATGTCAGCTGGGTGGTCCACGCCAGTCATAGCGCTACTAATAGAGATTAGGCAACTGAGAACTGAAAACTGAAAACTGAAAGCTGGGAGGGCGATCAAGAAAGGAGCCACAATGCCGCAAGGGCAATTGGGTGTGTTTTGTCAAGCGTCGGGCAAGGGCAAGGGCGAGGGAGCGCGCTCAGCGTCGAGGGTTGGGCACAAAAACCTATTTCATTCAATGACTGTGAAAACTAGTATTCAAATGTACTTAACATTGAGTAAGAGAGAGAGAGAGAGAGCGAGAGAGAGAGAGAGACAGAAAAACGGTAAGACAAAAAACAATAACATAAACGAGTCCAAAATTATAAAGTGAAAACAGGAAATGGTCTGAGCAGAGACACACACAGTAGCTAGATCTCTACGTATGTCTCGCAGATAAAGCAGGGTTCACTGAAGGTAATTTCAGGATCACAATTGTCGTATATCATTTCGTAACAGAAGAATACTAATAATACTTCTATGGCAGCCGTATGCAATGGGACGTTATCTGATTTAGGGAGCTTACAAAAGAAGTGCCGAACTGAGGGAAGTCCCCTCTAGGAGTTATGCTGAACCCTGCGCTGATATTTCAAAGTCCAAGAAAATATGATAAACCCGTAGTGGTATACAGAAATATGTACATATATTTGTAAAAACTCCAAGTCTTTAACTTTTATGGGCAACGAGATTGCTGTGCTCAGACGGACGAACGGACAGACATTCAAAGGGAAACGCAAACGACCACGCCTATATCGGGTCAGTTCGTCGCCCTGGCCAAGATTATGTATATACTACATAGAATCTGCCACGCCTCCTGCTGCCTCTGAAAACCAACGGAAATGCGCTCTCTTCCTATATGATTTAATTTCCAGCTTAACTATCTAATTATATGTACGCATAGCCCACTTCAGATAAGCCTTATTCAAGTGTAGAGCGTAGACTGAAATTCCAGATAAGTTGCAAAAATAAGTTTGTCACACAGAAACTCTATTTAATAATGCTTTAACTGTTAATTTCGAGAGCTGTCGAAAGCTCTGCTCTGACTGTGATATGAGCAGACAAATGTTGACACATTACGTGATTGAAACAAATATGAGTGCACTCGTTCCGTGCGGCAGTGCTCGACTGGCCAAACATCCTGGCGTGTGTGGAGAAAGTCCTTTACTCGAAGTAATCAGAACTCTATCAGAGCTAAGTCGACTTGTCTAGAATTTGGATGAATTTGAATTTCTATAAATGAAATTGTCTGATAGAATTGGCGAGAAATTTATTAAAATCTCTATATCATTCCATTTGAGTATGACAAATGACTCTAAAAATTATTATAAGGTAACTATTATTATTGAATGGTAATTTTTCTTCAAATGAACCAAATTGACAATAGTGAAAATCCCGAGTCGCTTGTTTAGAATCTTAGAAATCTAGCTTAAACTGAATCGATTATTGTGAATGATAACAGTTGCACTAGTTCTAATAATTCTGAAACTTGATGAGGGCAAAAAGAGAAGGCAGACATCAAAAGGACTAAAACTTTGGAGTATTTCACCTAATTATAAGATCTATATCTATCCTATGTATTCAAGTTCCTATCCAAAGCGCTTTTTATCGATAGCAAGATTAATATTTAGGAAATATTGCAGAGCTTGTCTGAGTTCTCGCTTATGAATCGAATATGAATACATATATGAATACCTACTGTAATTTATATAGCTTATATTATTATAGCTTCCATCTGTTACACACCCAAACCCAATATACCCCATTGGAACCAAAGCCAACGAGTGCTCAGGGCCTTTGTGTGTGTGTGCATCTAATGGAAGAGGCAAATTTCTGCTGATTGCCATTGCGTTAATTAATGCAATTTATTATTATGAAATGTGAAATAATGTAACTTTGAATGCATTATTGTCGGCATGTGTGTGCGTGGGTGTATGTATGTGCGTGTGTGTGTGAGTGTGAGTGTGAGTGTGCGATGTTGAATGGAAGTCAATGCATTATTTGTTTGTCGCATCATTTATTAAATTATTAAGCATTATTATGTAGGTTAACCAATTCAATTTGTTTGGTTTTCTCTATTTGCATTTTGTTTCTGAACGTCCATTTAGCATTCAGCAAAAAAAAATATATATTTATATTAAATATTTTTTGCTGCTGATTAATTCTGCATCACTTCCTTAAGAAGAAATCGCTTTGATGGGCTTTACTTTAAAATTTAAATGGAATTTTTACCTGTATCCAAAGTTTCTTCAAATCCATTGACGATAGGCAGAGAAGGACAGAGAGAGAGAGAGAGAGAGAGAGAGAGAGAGAGAGAGAGAGAGAGAGAGAGAGAGAGAAGAGAGAGAAGAGAGAGAGAGAGAGAGAGAGTGAGAGAGAGTAGAAGGAGGCGTGGCAGATTCCATCAAGTTTACTATATAAATTCTTGATCAGGACGACAAACTGAGTTGATATGGTTATATTCTTTAATCTGTATATGTATGATATATGTATATGAGCATCTTAATCTCAGAACCTACAAGAATTGAAGACTTATAATTGTTCCTTCAGAGTTTATTTCAAATAATCGATAGCTCTTTCTGTTATTGATTTAAATATTATCGAACTTCAATAATTAAATTTTGTATGTTTTAATTTATAAAATCTTGTTGTTGTGTTTTACATTTTTCATTTAAGATTACGGAAGATCTTAGTTAAGTGATATCTCGCGCTCTCTCCCTCTCCCTTTCTCCCTCTCGTTTGTATTTTGAGTTGGGTCTTTCATTTCTCACTTAATTTGAAAACTGTGTCTAATCGATCGATTTACCTTTGATGTGGTAAATGCATTCGAATTAGTTCCAAGTCATCCCAGATTGAGCATAGTAAAAAACCGTGAATCTTTACGTTGTCAAACTGGAACCGAAGGGATTCGATATTCGCTTTTCGGGCATCGATTGGGCTAATGTCACGTTCCAGTTTTTGGGGGTTCACATTGATGCAATTGCGTTGACCTTTAAGGGTTGCAAAGCACTGCACGGCCGTGTGCATTGCGGGCTAATTTCACGCCTGTCCGGCTCTAATCCCCGGCCCAGTACGAACGTCGCTCAATCAGCGCCAAATTAACACCATAAAACTTGGCAGCCAGCAAAAGACTTTGTGCTATTGCAATTTGCCTGACTACTTTTTGGGGGTGCTCTGTGAGAGCGAGAGAGATAGAGAGAGAGAGAGAGTGTGTGTGTGTATTAAGAAATTCAGTCAGTCTCATTGTCTGTTGTCTCCGAGTCAGCGTGAGCTTGTGACCCAGACTCCAGGCTCGGATGCGATTCGTAATGCCAGCTGCGTATGCCGAGCACGTAGCCTTTGGCTGGTGGTGGAATCTGTTTCGACGGGGCTTCAATAATTGACAAGCGCAGCATTTGGCGACTACGTGCCACAACAAAAAAAAAAAAAAAAATTAAAAAAAGTGGTCAACGGGCATTTGCAATAGGCAGTGGCAGCGACAGAAGCGACAGAAGCGACAGCACCAGCTACAGCTCATAAAACTGCCTCAAAACTGACCTGGATGGGTAATTTATGTGGCCTGGGTGTGAAGCGATGTCCAATTCCGTGGGCAATTGCATGTAAAAGTTGTTCGTTGCCTGCGTTTAATTTATATCGCCCAATAACAACAACAACTATGCCAGGTAGCCCACAAGACGCTCGAACGGGCAAGGCCGATGAACGGCTAAGGGCGAAGAGCGAAGGGCGCAGGGGGAACGCAACGGTATATGGCCTACGGTACGAAACGGACGCTCTATGTGTGTCTTGAGTTTGCCTGCTCAGCGTTTTCATTGAGAAGTGTGTGGTGCCTTTGCTTCATTCATGGCCCGACTAGAGAAGAGAGCGTGACACGCTAGACTCACGATTGCCGAGGAACAACTTTCGATATATGTATAAATATAGATATGATGGTTCGTAACTCTATAGAACTGTCTTTTATTTTTGACTTTACATGGTTGAACGAGTTAAAAATGCAACGGAATAATTTAAATTTTATAGATTAAAAAAAAAATAAAATAAAATAAACCACATATAATTATTCTTAGCACTATATAAATGCATACCAAAATTAATTATAATTAGAAGTATCTTGCTATATGTCTATGATCGATTTGTAAAAGAACGAGATGCGCAAAGAATAATAAGAAATACAGATGAGAAAAGAAAATAAGAAGATAGGAATATAAAGAGAAGATGAAAATAGATATGAAATGTGGAAGACGAGAAACGATGGAATTATAAGAGAAGAAATATATATAAAAAGAAGAGAGAAGAGAGAATAAGAAGATAAGAAACGAGATGAGAAATAACAAAGATCATAAAAGAAGTTGATGATAAGGAAAAAGATAATAAAATAAGATATAAGGTGAGGTGAAGTTAGAAAGTTAGAAAGAAGAAGTAAAAAATAGAAAAGGAAAATATGAAAATAAGAAGAAAAATGGAAAAAGAAGATGACTACAAACGATATAAGAAAAGGAAGAATAGTCAAATATGAAGATAACGGCAAGACAATGAATAATATGATATGAAGAAGAAGATAAAGTTATGAAAATTGGCATAGAACAGAATAGAAATAGTTTTGGATAGCACAGAAAAAATTAGTATTTGAATTATGCATGAGTTTGAGAAGATAATTGTTTTATATTGTGTGCCAATTGAAATTATATAGATGAGAGCCAATAGAAGAGCTAAATATGCCCAATCAATCTTACTCAATGTGTTTGTAGATAGATACATATGTATGTATGTATGTATGTATGTATGTATAAGTGGATATAGATTTGTGAATATATTGAATTGTCAATTACAATTAGGCTAACGATGTTGATGGGCAATCAAATCACGTTGCCATCTCTAATTGATATTGCCAAAGCCATTCATTCAGTCAGTCGCTCATTCATTTGCCGCCTTATTGTTGTTACTTATCGCCCAAGTTGTTTCGCAAAGGCCAAAAATTCAATTGAGCGGAAAATATGTTGTCTTTGCGATTTTCCTTTTGGCATGCTCGTTTATCTGGCCGCCTTATTGTGTAATGATGACAAAGTGCTGCTGCCGCCGTTGCTGCTGCTGCTGCTGCTGCTGCTGCTGCTGTTGATGGCAATGATGCCGAAGTCGATCCGGAATGCTGCTGGTTGCCAGTTCCTTTGTGCTAGCCTGATGTCCGCCATCTCGTTCCAGTCAGAGTCACAGTCACAGTTAAAGTCGATGTGCCTCTGTCTCTCTCTCTCTCTCTGTCTCTGTCTCTGTCTTTGTCTTCGTCTCATTCTCATTCTCAGTTCGCATCAGCACATTCATTCATTTGTCTGCGTGCTCATTCATAAACTAAACGGACAGGCACCGAGATCCGGGCTGTGGGCCTTTTTGCACTCATTGCTTTAGTGCCCAGGACGTTGTCCAGCTGTCGCTGCTGCGTAGCTAAAGCGACAGTTGACAAAGGCTAAGCAGGCAGAGCCAGCTATTCACCGCTTAACACACAGCAGTTGCCGTTGCCGTTGCCGTCGCAGTCGCCGTCGCAGTCGGCGTCGCAGTTGCCGTCACATTTGCCATGTCCAGTTAGTTCACAGTTTCATCTCCTGCCGACAGCGTAAAAATTTCAATTCGCCATACAACTTTGCGGTCATTTATACAAACAGACACACGCGCACAAATGCACACACACACACACACATACATACATACACTCTATCATTTCTTTTTTCCTTTTACACACACACACACAGTGGGAGTTCTATCTCTGTGTTCTTTTATTTTTTGCGTTTAGCCAAGCCAGGCCTTTCATATTACAGTTACAAATTTGCGTCTATTGTTGGTAATGGCGATGCTGTGGCGTTGTCCTCGACCAGAGCCAGAGCCAGAGCCGTAGCCAGAGTCGGAGCCAGTTCCAGTTACCAGTTGCCAGTTGCCTGCGGCGCTGTGCCTGATTACTTTTTCTAGCTTACTTAAAATTCGATTAGGCCACGCCCACTAACTAACTTTTTTGTTTGTGTTGTTCTGGTTTTTGCCATACGTCTGCTCGGCTCCCTCTCATTTTCTCTTTCACTCTCTCACTCTCCTCACTCTGCCTCACTCTCTAAACATGCTTCTTCTTTTATTTTGCAGTTTGCGAGGGATTGGAATTATTGCACGGATTTCGTTGATTGCAGAAGCGTAAGTACATGCCCCGCCTCCAGCTCAAACAGCAGCCGCATCAGTAAAAGCTCCCTACACGCGCTCACGCCCCCACCGCCCCATCGTCCCACCGTCTCACTCCATTTAATGATAAGTACAAAGACGGCGGTTAGATGCGATAACAACAGCTTGAATAGCCCTAAGCCATGGCTTCCTAAACCATCCAGCAACAGTTCATAATTATTATGATCCCTTAACCCATTAATGTGCCCGATGAGTAAATGCTTTTGCCGCTCCAACTAAATACTTCGCTAACAACTATGAAATTTTAATGCAATGCTAATATACTTGGCTTCAAATTAAGTGCTATCTGGAGGCCAATTTCGAGGGAGTTGTATGTATCTATACATTTATTCTATGAAAGCTCTTAAGCCGGAACTTAATTTGTTAAAATATCGCACTTGTTTTTAAAGCACACCTTGTTTCCTTTTTTTTTTTGCTACGGCAGTCTAGCGATAATTAAGATATGCAATCCGCTGTATTCACATTTTTGAAAGCCCTCAAATCACTTGAAATTGAAAAGTTTCACATAACCAATTTTGATTGCATGGCGCAAACATTTTTTCCAAATATGTAACGTTTTCAATTTGAAGAGTATTCCATTTCAGTTGTTAGCCAAGGCTAAAACGGGCATTTACAAAGCTAAAAAAACTAAACAACAGAAATAGAATAGAATGAAAATGCCAGTGCTGCAATGCCAATAAAAAAAAGCAAGAGAAAAACAAAAACCAACGTAAAATCGAAAAAGCAATTTAAACTAAACAGAAAAAAGCTTTTGTAAAATGAATGCAACAAAAAAAGGAATTTTTCAATACTAGCGCAACTAATGCCTGTAAAACTTATCGATAGTTGTGCAAACTCAATTAACTCGCTAATCAATGCAAAAAAAAAAAAAGTACATCGAAATTTTTCAATACTGGCGCAGCAATGGTCAGTCCCGTAAACATATCGATAGCTATGTTTTTAAGCTACCTCAATAAAGAAAAGCTTATCGATAGCAGCACATTCACAGGGATCCTCATTTCGAATGCAAACAAACATTCAAAATGAAATTCGCCAGAAATCTGGCGCACAGATTGCACGGGAAACGGTTATTTGTGTGCGTATTTAAGTACGTGGGCGCATTAATGGGTTAAATCTCGTTGCTTTCGATTGCTGCGGGCGGCTGGCAAAATTGCGTTGGCAATTTGCGACTTTTTCATCCGCCCCACCACATCCTGCAGCGATATATACATACATCAGTATGTATATATGAATGTATGTATATCTATACATATACATATCTGCTACTACCGTTATGCTTTTGCTTTTGCTATTGCTGTTTGCGCTTAGCTTTGGCTTTAGCTCTGCCATTTTCCTAATGTCGAAACCATCCACAGTGTTGGCAAAACTGCCACAGGCAATTGGCGCCCTTTGAGCTGCGCGTCCACCATGCCCAACGACAGGGAGCCCTGGTGCTGACCGACATCGGATGGGACGAGATGATTGCGAACGCATCGCGTCAATGCCTGATCACCTGGGAGGTATCCGGCGGCGGTCTCATGGGCAACCTGCTCACAGACACAGCACGCGCCGAGCTGTCACTCTGGCCGGATACAGTGTACAACATACAGGTGACCTGCAAGCATAAGGTAAGCCAGTTCAAGTCCACAGCCTTTGACCACAGTGTGTGACAGGATAGAAATTGTCAAACCATTTTGTTTGTAGCTAACGGGTCTGATGCGGCGTTCACTGAAGCTCAATGTGGACACACATCGGCTGCTGTCAGAAGCAGCGGCAGCGGCAGCGGCAGCCAATCGTTGGACAAATCCCAGCCTGTTGCCCCTAAATGTGGATATGCTGCCAGCGGCAACAACAACAACAACAACGGCAGCAAAAGCAATAGCCACAGCAACGTCAGCAACATCAGCAGCAGCAGCCTCACCCCCACCACCACCACCGCCATCACCACCAACAGCAACAACAACTACAAAAACAGCAGCAGCAGCAACAGCAATTTTGCAGCGCACTCGACCCACAGACCGTGTGTACATCATCAGTGCATTGCCAACGGCCAGCCAGCTGAGCGGCGTTGTGTATCCGGCCTTTGGTGCGTTGGCTTTCTTCCTGGCATTGCTCGTTATGTTCCTGTTTCTGCGTCCGCAACGCAAGCGGGCCTCTGATGGGGATGCGGACACCGCATCTCTCCTAAGCGGACGTCGCTCGCGGCTCTCCATGGACAACTCAACGCTGCATGTGTAGGCGCTCAAAAGGCGAACCGAGTTAAATGACAAAATAACAGCAATATCAGCAGCAGCAACAACAACAACAAAAAGAGAGAGAACTTGTAGTCGTTTATGTCTGACTATGTGATATTCTGCACCCAAATTGTACATAACATAGATACACACAAATACACACACACACAATACAGACACATTCACACACACACACACACACACACACCTACTATATATGTAGCTTACATATACTATACTATGCATACTATACATAAACGTGCGTATTAAAACATATATAGTTATCAAATCAAATATCTCACATCAAGTCCAAAAAAAAAAAAAAAAAAAAAAAAAACAACAAAACAAAACAAATGAGAAAAAAAAGTTCGCTCAATCGTACGATTAAGTTTTACCTTTTTTTTAGTATTTAGGGCCAAACAAAACAAAACAGTCATAAATTATATAGAATATTAAATATATATATACATACATACATATACATATTAACTATATACATTAACGCGTACACTATATACATACATACATATATATGGTATATATAGATATATATATATATACCATATCCTAGTTATACATCTATAGACATAATCTAGGGGCTGCGGCCAATCAACTACATACACCAAACTAAATGCAACAAATTGCTACAAATTTTTATGCAACATACAATTTTTTTCTCGTCGCGTCGCTTTTTTCAAAACTAAACTAAACAAACTAAAACTAAATAATAATAATACAAAAAAAAACAAAAAAAAAAGAAAACATACAAATATACATATATAAACAAAAACAAAATGGAAATCTTAAAGATCGCATGTCGTTTTCAAATTTGTCGTCTATATAATAATATGAATTAAAAAAAAAAAAAAAAACAAAAAAAAATACATAAACTCAAATTAAATCATACCAAAAAAACAAAACAAATTAAACTAAAATCAAAATGAAATATTTTTCAAAATTTTTAAATGTTTATATACCTAGCTAAAATGAAAACAATTACAAATTCAAAACAAAAACTAAAACTAAACTAAACTACATAAATCTAATGCAAATTATGTACTTGAGCAAGTCAAAAGAGCAAAGAAAGAAAATTGAAGAAAAAAACCAAGAAAAGAAAAAGCCAAAAAAAAAAAAAAAGCTTCGCTACGCAAAATGCCTGTAAATATCAAAGCGTCATTCAGATAAGATAAACTTTTTTTTTTTTATAAATATATATATATATATATATACTTATATATGACTATTATCTAAATCTAGCTCTTTTCCAGGTCAAAGTATCCTAAATAGTTTAAGCAGCAGCAGCAGATGAGGCTAAAGCAAAGTCAACTGGATTCATGAAATGTAAAATCTGTTTGTCTGACATACATACATATATGCATATACGATACATACCTACATACATACATACATACATACATATATACCTAATCTAATGATAATCAACTACAGATTTGTAGTACTCAATATATATATATATATATATATATATATATATATATATATATATATATATTTACATGTATATATATATTCTCAAAGACTAACAAACTGTTTGCTTTTGCCCCCAGATCGGACCAAGTGTCGATTCAGTTTTTGAATGTTTTTGGACTAACTTCTAGTCAAATGCAAAACACATATACATACATACATACATACATACATATGTAGCTAGTTTTCTATTGTAGCATTCCCGATCCCAGAAGAAACCAAGATAGGCGCCAAATCGAAAAGCGCAATACGCTCGTACATACATACATATACATATGTATGTGTATATGTGTGGCTATCTAGATAGGTGACAGCAATAGAGTTCAGCCTAGAGACTAAACAAACGCAAATCAACCAAAACTACATAACTCTCTCTTTCTCTATATATTGAGAAATATACTATATACTATATAGGTACACATATAACCAGGCAGATGAGGAGAACATTTGTGCAGAGTCTGAAATATATATATATACATATATAGATATTAGTTAAATAACTTGTCAATCAACTTGCCGGAAAAGAGCATACAAGATGCGGTGCGCACCGATCGATACACTATAAACAACAACAACAACAACAAAAGAGAAAAATCATAAATAATACAAGAATATAAATTGTATCAATATATGTATTCATATAACTATATATATGCATATATATGTGTGTGTATATTTGAATAATTCTAGTTTAAGTTTAGTGTTTGTTTTTTTATTTTTTTTATTATTGTTTTACTCCTATTTTTTTTTTTTTAGTTTCTGCATTTAGCATTATTATTTTTATTTGATTATGTAAATATAATTTGATTTGTTATTGCAGCGCATTTCGGGTTTTATTTGTGCTGTTGGGTTTGGATTTGGATATGGGTCTGGGCTTGGGTTTGGGCCTGTTGGCATGGGAATATCATTTGCCATGGGTGGCGTGGGGGTTTGGGGGGGTCGCGCTTGTTGCCAAACTAACCCATCGATTTTTTCTCTCTTTCTCATTTCATTTGTGCGCTGCGCTGCGCTGCCGCATGGATGTTGGTTGATAAAAACAACAAAATGGATAACCACTTACCATATAAATTGGAGCCGCAAAATATGCCAACGATAAAAAAAAAAAAACAACAACAACAACAACAGAAAACAATACAAAAAAAATAACAACAGCTACAAAATAGAAGCAGCTTTTGTTGCGGGGGTGTGTCCGCAGCTCCCCCCGCCACCGTCAACCGCCCCCAGCGTTCATGATGGAGGCGTGTGTTGTCCTTTATCCAATTGTTATGCGCTCTGGCTTGGTTTACCTAGTTATAGAGCTGGGAGGCATTTTTTTTTTGTTATTATTATTATTTTTTGTTTTTTTGCTTTTTGATTATTTTGTTGCAATATTTACATTTATACATTTATGTATTTGTATGGGTTTTACCGTGTTTCTTAACTGTTTGCCATAAATATCTATCTCTCCAGCTCTCCCTCTCTCCCCCTCGCTCACTCTCTTGGCATGCATAATTCTGCCCTACTTTGACTTTTACGATTTTCGTTTACTTGGCCCCCTCCCCCCAACAATGGCCTGGGACATGCATTCCATATACATATACTGAATGTAATCAATGACAACATCTCTTTAATTGGCTTATAATAGTTTACTCTGCCTCTTGCTCTTGCTCTTCCTCTTTCTCTTCCTTTTCCTTTGCTGCTGTTCTTTATTATTATTATTTCATTTCATTTTTTTTTTAAGATTCCTAATGGATTTATTGGTTGTTTTGACAGTTGTCTACGCTGACATCTAAATGGATCACTCTATTTATCCAAGCAACAGTTCACACGCTCTCCCTCTCTCCCACTCTGGCTCCCTCTATCTGTCTCGCTCTTTGATAATTTGAGCTGTTGTGCAAACATTTGAAATTCCTTAAGCTCAAATATAGGAGTAGAAGAGCTCTTCTAGACGCAATTACATGATTTGTTTTACAATGTAACACTTTTTCCTCTTCTCATCTCTAACCCTGCGTATGTGTGTGTGTGTGTGTGTGTGTTATCTCTTGAGTTGCCGTTAGCTAAGTCCAACATCGTTACAGATTTTTCCACTTGAGGATTTGTTTTGAATTTCAATACAAAAAAAAAGAACGACAACAACAACATAAAGAAGCAGCATCTTGTTGAGGCTTTAGGTAACCCAAAAGGGCGTGCACCCACACTAAACAAGAAAAATCTCAAGTTGCATTATCTCAAGTTCCATTTGGAGTTGAGTGAGGCTGAAGGGGTTCGGGCTGCGGCTTCACCTAGCCGAGCCAGCTGCTCCAATCTGAATGGCGGATGGGGGCACTTGGCTGGCATTTGTTGGTCGGCTTGACGGTGGGGGGGGCTGAATTGGACTGAATGGGGCGGGGCGGCGCTGCGCTGGGCTGTGTTGGGCGCTGCTGTGCTATGCTATGCTGGCTGGCCACTTGGCTTTCAGCTTCCAGCTCTGCTCTACACTCGCCATTCTACTTGTTCTCAAGCACTTTTTATAAACCAAATTAAATTTATATGGGCCTCCGGCAGTCAACAACGCTCGCTCGCCTGCCCAGCACTTGGCACCCAAAACTCATACAATACCCCATTCCCATTCCCCATTCCCCATTCCAATTTCCATTTCCATTCTCATTCCCATTTCAAATCCCATGCTATTTCATATCTCTCTCTCTCTCTCTCTCAGTCTCTGTCTCTGTCTCTCTTTCGCTCGCTCTGTGGGCGCTGTCAACTGCCAATTAGCTGAGCATTTTTCAACATTTTAAATTGTCTTGCCGAGTGCGTGGCCCCAGCTCTGGGGCAACACTTGAGTGAGTCGTTTTATGCAACACAGCCTTCAGATTTTTACCCCTGCTTTCTTTAGCTTTTTATTGTTGTTGTTGCTATTGTTTGTGTTTGTTTTTTGCTGTTGCTGCTGCTGTTGTTGTTGTTGCTGTTGTTGTTGTTGTTGTTGCTGTTGCTGCTGTCAGCTGTGCAGCGCGTGCTTCATTTATCAAAAAGCAATTACAATGTTATAGGCAATTCGATGCTTGATTCAGCAAGAGCCCCATGGGCTATAGACACACTGGCTGCTGCTGCTTCATCATCAGCAACAGCAACAGCAGCAGCAACAACAACAACAACAACAACACCAACAGCATCTCAGCCCACCTGCTAAAACAAAGGCAAGAGCAGAGTCAACCCAGCATTATTTCGTTTATTGTTGCTCTACTTCTTTTTTTTTTTTGCTCATTTTAACAAATATATACATACATACATATGTATATATACATATAAAAATATATATAGATAAATTGAAAAGAACATTCAAGTTGAAAAATAATAAAAATGAAAAACCAAAAAGCATATAGCGCGTACCTACAAACATATTGTATTACAAAAACAACACAAATTATTAACTTTAAGTAGACGAAGAGAAAAAAAAAAAAACAGCAAGCAAAAAATACAAATGAAGATGCAGAAAAAGCAACATGAAAAAATAAAATTAGACTACAAAACTCAAAACAAGCGAAATACTAGAAACCACTAGAGATGGGAGAAGAGGTGGGGGAGCAGAGAGAAGAAGCACACTAGCGGTGGGCAGCAGCGCTAGAGAGGAGACAAGAGCAGCAGCAGCAGCAGCAGCAGCAGCAGCAGTGGCAGTGGCAATGCCGGCGCTCACTAGAGAGGAGAGTGCAGAGCGTAGACGAGGCAATGGCAGCGGATGAGCAAGAGCAGGCAGAAGAAGACAAAAAGCGAGCATGTGTTTGTGCTATAAAAGGTTTCTCATTACAATTTTTGGCCAAGGGTCGCATCGTTGCACAAAATTACTTTTTGTTGTCGTTGTTGTTGTTGTTGTTGTTTTTGGTGCTTCAAATGCTGCTGCTGCTGCTGCCGCTGCTACTGCGTCGCGCTCTCAACGCCAGCGGCGCTTTTAGAGAATGTGGTGGTGGTGCCTGAAGAGGGGGTGGGGGCTGGCGGCGGCGTCCTTAGTAGGTGTTCGGCTGACTGAAGTGGCGGGGCGGCAACGGCTAAGGGGCAGCGGGCACAGGACAGGGCGATTGATATACAACACACAGCCGCGCTGTGATACATACACACACACACACACACACACCACACACATATACCTAAATATATACGTATGTATACATTTATATATAGTATATATGGTACACATAGAGATGCTTATGCTGTTTATAGCTAACAGTTGCTGTTCCACAAACAAACACACCCACACTCACACACACACACACACACACACACATGCACACATAGAGAGACAGCACTATAGCCAGGGCGGTTGCACGTGACACGACCAAACATGTTCGAGGCTGGCAGCAAGCGCTTGGTTCGATGCAAAGGATAAAACGTATCCCGCATCCCAAATGGCAGTCAAACGAAGCGCCAGTGCGTCGGCGCCTTGCCACAGCTCGCTCACACATACAGGCACACACACTGGCAGCCACACATACACGCACACCGATACACACAGCCACAATGGGCAGGAAACAGGCAACGAGCAGAACACAATGAAGCCTTGCCTTTATGCCTTGCTCTTGATGCTGTTGCTGCTGTTGCTGCTGCTGCTGCTGCTGCTGCTGCTGCTCTTGGCGTGGCACAATTCGCGGGCGCTGTGCTCACATTTAACCTTAGCAAAGGTTACGCGCGGAGTAGGCGCGAGCCCCAACGATGTTAGCCGACGACAGCTGCCAGGCCGAAGAGCTGTTGAAGTTTTGCCCCGTCACAGCTGTCTCTGCAGATATAGAGATGACGATGAGCTGATACTTGGCTTTATGCTCGCCGCCCGCTGACTGTTGGCTCGTTGGCCCATTGGCTGCTGAATGCTGCTGCCGCTGCTGCTGCCACTGCTGCCGCTGCTGCTGCCGTTGCAATTGACAGCTGTGACGGGCGGTAACATGTTGATACGGGGCGCTTTGTTGTTTCTCAGAGATTTCATCTAATTCGCTTTGCGTTACACTTGATTTTCGGCTTGTCTTATTAAAAGACAATCAGATTGGAGTTCTCCGTATATTAAGGGCATGTGTCACTGTTAATCTTCTCAAGCATTTCTCAGCGGCTTCCACTGACGGCACTTAAGCCCAAATGAGTGATTTTTTACACTCTATCTTGCTCTCGCCGTCTACAATTTATCAACTATGCAGTCACTGGCTGACAATATCGAATCACAGTGACTAATCACATCAATGCGGATTAGTGATATGGTAAGTAGACGTAAGTATGACGGAGTATATCTACATATGTATGTCTGTGTGCACACATGGTTGTCATTCAATGGGGATTCCAGATGAAACCTACATATGGATGTAGTAAATAATGGAGATGAAGAAAACTTGTTACGAGCTTGGACCAAAATTGTACAAGAAATAAAATTTTTTTTTTTTTTTTTTTTTTTTTTTTTAAATCTAGACCAACTTTGTATGCTCATTATAGGAAATAAAATGGGTATATTGGTTTTGTGCAATGTCCGTATTGCTGTCTGTCCATATTGCAGCTAGCTATTTTATATTTATAACCCCAAAATATATAGTGTCAAACTTTTCACAGTCCACTCACTAGGGGCGTGGCAAATCAGGAAATGCATATTCCGGTATCCTAGAAGCCATTATAGTTGAAGTGCTAGAGAGTCGAAATTTTAGATGGTAAGGCTGATATATCTACGGCCATTGGGGGTGTAACAAACCGGAAAAGACTGTATTTTCAACAGTTTAAGAGCTAAAAACTCAAAATTTAACGACCAATTTGGGGCGTGGCGAATTGAAAAATGGAACTGCCAGGCCGTGAATGAATATTACGAGGTCGACTGCAAGGTTTTTTACTTTTTATACTCCTTCATGAAAGTCAATTAAAATATTGGTTTTGTGCAACGTCCGTCTTACTGTCCGTCTTGCTGTCCGTCCGTCTGTCCTACTGTCCGTCTGAACGCAGTTTATTTCGGCGCTATTGAAGCTAGAGACTTGAAATTTGGAACACAGACTCGGGTACATCTCCCATTTATAAATCCGCCCGCTAGGGGCGTGGCAAATCGGAAAATGCATTTCCTAGCTGCAAAGTTCTTACTTGTTTAAAATGGATGTAGTAAATGATGGAGATTAAGAAATGTTTATTATGTTTCTCTAAAATTTTGACCAACTTTTATTTCAACTACAAATTCAGACTCGAATTTATGACAGCTAGAAAATTTACATACATTTCATTTGCAGCTTTGTCAATTTAGGAAGGCATGATTTACTTGCCAAACGCTTTACGTTTTCATTTAGTTGCTCAGAGCGTAATAGTAAACATATCACAAAACATGGTAGAAAATTTGGATCAAGTTATCTAAGTCTCACAAAATACAAATTCATATGTTTCATTTCACTTCAACAGTACCCCAAAAAATTACTTAAAAACACACAGAAAAAAAAACCAAAAAAAAAAAATAAATAAATAATAATAATAAATAACCACAAAAAACATTTACCACGGCTGTAACCTCTATTGGACCCATTATTGTTGAAAGCTTGAACTAAATTTGGAAAACTGAAGCTTAACTTAAGACTGAAGAAACTGAAACTAATATTATTTAGTTAGTGGGTATGTATGTATGTGCAAATATATATATAAGACTTCTTTTATTCCCTGAATTCTTTATGGGAAGTAAAAGTATGATGGTGGCATGACATCTGTCGTGGAATCTCATAGAAAGTACATAGAGTAGACTTCGCTTTAGCGTCTGTACGTTTATAGCGACGAAAGTTCTGGGCCCTGGGCAAATTTGTATGAGCTAGCTTTTATGATTATAGCGTCTTCTGTGTACGTCCTCTGACGGTCCCTTGATGGTCGTTGTCGACTGTACATATACATATATGCTTGATCAGAGCGACGAGCTAAGTCAACTTCTGTCCGTTTATTTATATGATAGTTGTTTGCTGGATCGAGATCGATGTTCAAATAATCAATAGCTATTCGCGTTTGTTTTGATCAGAATACAATTATACATCATAATATCGTCTAAGTCTTTGGAGCTATAGTTTTCAACTTTTGCAATAGTTGCATGTATATTCTATACAATTTGATCAACTTCTTCAAATTGAAGTACAATTGCCATAATAGACAACATACGAAAGTGTTTGCAGTTTTAGTTAATTGATAAATACGCTATAGAATATGTAGATTACACACTGAAAATTGCATTGAAATCCATTAAGTAATACAGAAGTTACTGAACAAGACACGTGGCCTGCTGCGCCAAGCTTTTGCATTATTCCTATACATGTGCACACATATGTATATCTTTATAAGTATATTGAAGAATACACTAATTGATTGTGAAAGCTCAAACATTTTTTAATATATACCTTTCCAATACTAGAGACTTGTGCATCAGCAAATACCCTTAGCTAAGAGACATTATTACGTTTAGGAGACTTAATTAGGAAAGTCCGTTTACAGATGTTGAGGGTTTGGCCTAGTAGATCAGCCTCTGCTCGAGTGTAACCACGTGTTGGACGTCGGCAGCGCAGTATAGTAGGCACTGTTACTATTAGTCTATTCAAATCCAAATTAAGCAGTTAAACAGTCAGTGTCGTAGACCTACTGACATATAATAGAATATAAAATATATTTTGATATATCCTGATATAATAGTATATTATAATCTACATTCACAATATTGCCAATAGAAATCATATTCGCTTGTAAACCACATTGTCGGTGTTGTTGCAAAAGCGAAAAAACCCCAAAGAAAACCCTAGAAGGAACAAAGCAAGAGTTAAAGCCAATCAAAAAGCCACTACTGCAATGGAGAAGTTGAGCAAAGCGAAGTGGGCGGAAATCTGCAATACCTTTGCCATTTTGGATGTGGATGGAAGTGGACTGCTAACAGCCAGGGAGCTGTGTGGCATGATGCGTGTATTTGGCTATGACAACAGCGAAGAGGATGTGCAGAGGATGATCGATGCCGTCGATACCGATGGCAGCGGTAAAATGGACTGCGCCAAATTCTGTGCCGCCCTATATTGGACGCTGAAGCCCGAGGAGTCAAAGCACAGCGAGGAGTCAGACGGCTCTACAGAGGAGCAAAGTTCATCATCCAATGAATCGTGTAGTTCACACGAGTAAAATATTTCCCAGGCAAGGACGACGAAAAAAAATCGAGAACCCAACCAAACAAAAAAAAAAAACAAAACTTTCCACGCGCTCCGGTCTCTGCGAGTCTGTGTGCATACATATATACGATATAATGATGATGTACCTACGGCATTCACATATATCACGTGTATATATATATATGTATATATGTATATATATATAAAGCTATGTTTGTTAGATCACACAATGAATCCTTCTCCACGCAACATTTCTGTTCACCGCAACAACTGAAAAACGAAAATAAGCCAACAAAAAAAGTTCTGGATACCGAACGGAAAAATGGGGAAAAAAAATTAAGTGTTATATATAAAAAGTTAAGTGAAAAGAACTATTAAAAAAATTTGAGCGAAAAATAGTAAAAAATAAAATCAAATTTCAATTTGTAATTACTGTTGACAGCTAGGTAGAAATTATATGATAATGGATGGGAGAAAGCTGAACCACTCTCAAATAGAGAGGTACGATTGGTCTGAAATTGTCTCGAACTCGGTCTGAAAAGTCTAGTGAGATTCCGAAGAACGTCACCAATTCGCCACACCCATAGTGGGTGGATTAGGAAAAACTTGACACTTTATAGTTCCGGGCTTACACGAATACATACATACATATATGTATGTATGTTCAACTTCAAGTAGAACTCATGCGGACAGACGGTCGGCCAGAATGTCTAAATATTATATGTATATATCCAATATAATATTGCAATAAAATCATTCCAAGACTCGAGCAATATTTATATCAGAGAGGAATAGCTCTCCCAAGCAAATAGATCTTGTATAATTTCAAATCAGATTAAGCTTGTTAGCTAGTTAAATACCTGGTAATAAAAATAACAATATATATAAAATATAGCATACCTTTTTGGGCACTAAAATTCATTTGCAAACCTTAGGAATTAGCTACATAATTATCTATAATACATACATGCATAAAAAAAAATTATAAATTATAAAGCAAACACAATTTATTACATCTTTAAAACCTTTTAATACTCACGACTTTTTTTTTTTAATATAAAGGTTCATTTAATATATTTGATAAAACAAAATGTTGGTGTTTATTTCAGCTCAAAGGTTTGATGAATACAAAAAAAATATATATATTTATATATACATACATATATATATATATATATATATATATATATATATATATATATATATATATATATATATATATATATATATATATATATATATATACATATATCAGATATTGTACAATATGTTAATGTTTTTCTTTTTCAGTTTTAAATATTATAATTAGTTGTTTTTTTGTTTGAATCATTCTGCTGCATGACATATTTATAATTGTATTTAAATACATACATAATAATAGTACATAAATGTTGTTTATCTGTTTTTTCAATTACCCCCCGAAAAATATTTAAACATAATGCGCATTGACCCGCAACTAAGTGTTATATACTTTTTTTTTTTTTTTTTTTTGTTGAAATTTGTTTTGTTTTCCCTTTTTAGTAATATATATATTATAATTATCTAGTTTTCCACAGTGCTGCCTGCTGTTTCAGTTTCTTCTTTGCTGCTGCAGTTATCTGTTGAATCGTTTTTAAGTACGTGCGCACAGGAAATAACAATTTATCGAGTGATAGATAGTTCGTGGAAATGTAGGCCACACGGTGTGCTGAGCTTAATGTGTCGGCTTCCAACACTGCGCTAGTGTGTATTTGTGTGTGTGTGTGTGTGTGTGTGTGTTTATGTTTATGTGTTCGTGTCACCGGCCATTGTGTGACGTCACAGCGTGCAGCCCAATCCTGTGAACTGTGCTAGCACGCTGCCAGCGCCTGGAGCCTTCATTAGTTTCAATAAAAAAAAAATATTGTTTAATGCATATTACATACATACATAAGTATAACAAATTAAGTTTCCTTTTTTTTTTTTTTTTGCTTTTGTTTTTATAATAATAACTATGAGCTCTGTCCATCATCGAAAAACGTGTATAACGATCGATTGACACTATCGATAAACTGCTTCCAATTGGCAAATGCTAAGCTTCAATAAATGCGCTCCGTTTTCTTCTCTTTGTTTTCATTTGCTATACACAATTTGTCACATTTTAGTTGCTATTTTGATGTTCTTTTTTTTTGTTTCGTTTTCTTTTTGAGTTTGTTTTGCTAACGTATCATAAAATACATTTGCTGTGTTTGTTAATTGTTTTAATTTACAATTTAGTGTAGTGGCTATATAATTTAGCTTGACGCTGTTTAATGACTTTATTGTCTTACATTAAAACTGAATGTTGTCTTTTACACAAACCAATTACACACACAATTTTAAAAAATCAAATCATAATTATTATCATAATCATGTTAAATAGTACTAATCAAGAAATGCTTACACGCATCGCGGACATTTATCAAACTTGGTTTTTGACGCAAAAAAAAAAAAAATAACAGAAAAAAAAAACAATTATAAAAAATCAAGGGAATAGGTATACATATGTATATATAAATATATATATATAGATATATATGTATATATACATATATCAAATATAAATTATTTTTTGCGTTTCTTTTTTAAAGCAACTGGATACTTTCGCACATGATGCCCATATGTTTTTGAAGTCTGGCAACACTGTGCCTTGCTGATATTCTCAACGATGCTCCACGCACGCGGACTCCGCTGGGTTTCCTTTCTTCAGATGAGTGAATGAGTGTTAGTGTATTGGTATAGGTGTTTGCCTGGGTGTGTGTGTGTGTGTGTAGTTGTTTTAACTTATTTTACAATATATGCGTGTGGCAACCTCTGTATTTAGCTGTGTTCGGTATGTATGTATATATGTGTGTGTGTGTTTGTTTGTGTTGTCTTTAGACTTTTAGCTTAAACGCTCGCTACGCTTGCTTTAAAGCATATTTATTCATGCGATGGCTGCTGTTCCGGAAAGCCGCTAACCTCCGTCTGCTCCACGACCTGCTGACCATCGATCGTATATTGAATTCGTAGACGCATGCGTAGCACAGCCTATTATATATAGAGAAGCGAGAAAAGTTTTAGAATTTGGAAATTTATCAATCAATATGCAAGAAGAATGGAGAACTGATAAAGATTATTCCCTTCTCTTCCCTTTTAGTTAATTTGACTAGTATAGTTAATAACTCTCTTTCAGATTAACATTGCCTACATAAGTTTTTTTCTCTTTGATTTCTAAAATAGTAAAGTTAAAAGAATATCTTATCTAATCTGAGAATGTACAGGCTCTTGGACAAAGGCAGTTTATATCGATAAATGATATATGTATATACATAAAAATGAAACCCCTTTTAGATCTCAGGATAGTCTTAGCTATACTATTTCACATTTACATCTCCTACTGAACTTCTGTGCTCTTCATTTCATATCTCCGTTCACCCACTTACATTGGACGTAGCAACAACTCGCATTTCCTGCGTGATGACGCCACCTGGAGGCAGCACCGAGCCCGACGGCGTCAGCATTTGCAGTTTAAAACTCTTCTGCACGGCCGCCTGTGAAATACAATGAATTTAATATACAAAAGTCATTCATCATTCAAACAGCAAGTAGACGCACCTGCAGCAAATACTGCTCCAATGTATTGTCTGAGCTATTTGTGGTTGTCATAAATATTTTCATGCAGTCACTGCCCGGCACTGGCACCAGCTGCACCAGCAGTCCGTTCTTGTCCAGCGCCGTTAGCTTGGGATCCTTTGGAGGCTGAAATTTAAGTTAACAATAATTGAGTACAGATGCCAGCTGGATTATAGGGAATTAAAGAAGTCTCACTTACCACTGACACATTGTTAGAGGCCGTCGTCGGATTCAGTTCACCCAGCAGGCTGCCGCGGTTAATATCACCGCCAATGGACGGCATTGCGTGGGATGGCGCACCGCCTCCAACGTTAAGGCCACCCAGCATGCTCGATAGATCGTTACCGTTTGTGGGCATGCTATTGGGCATGGAGTCGATGCCACCGAAGCCGCCCAGATCGAGTCCGCCGAGCATATTGTTCATATTGGCGGCGCTGCTATGATCACTTCCCAGATTCACGCCCATGACGGGCGTTGCAGTTGGCGCTGACATGTCCAGGTCGAGCAAGTCGAGCAGATCCTGATTGTTCGACACCGGCTCATCGTTGTTTGCATTTCGCGTATTCTTTTTATGCACCGCATTCGATAGGTCTGTTGCCATGGCCAAATCGTTGGCGCCCGCCGACAGATCCGTGCTCCCCAATAAGTCCAGCAGGATATTCTAAAATATCATCAAGACAATATAGAGAACACTCAATATGGGTGTGTATTATATAGTTTACCGTATTGTCCCCCATTGTGTTCATATTGCTTTCGATTATAGGATGCGTACTGTTGCCGCCAATCTCGATGCCATTCTCGATAACGTCCGGACTATTGTCATCGAAGGAGCCGCCGCTCTCGCCATTCTGTGAACTAATACGACTGATTTGCATGGCGGGCATCTTTTCCAGCAGGGGCGGACGCAGGTGCTTATAGCTGCCAAAGAGTTGTGTGAACTCTACGCCGCGTTGCTGCAGATCCACATTCAGATGGCTGCCAAACGAGGTAATCAATGCCTGGATCTCTCTACAATAGAAGATGTTTGATTTTCAGCATGTGAACCACTGACCAGGAGACGGTATATATGTGTGGTCACTTACTCCACGCACTGCTGCAGGCGCGTGCTCAACTTGGCCAAAGAGACGAGCGCATATTGCTTGCTTGTTGTCGACACTTGAGCAGAGGTTAAAAACTTATGATACACAGCGATCAGATCGCTCTCCGTTGGACGCTCGAACTCTGTTCGAATAGATTTGGGTGAATTGGATAAAAAAGATTCACGAATGATATGACTACTGTACACTCACCATCCTCATTCGCGCCGTACATGAACAGATCGCCGTACTCGCCTATGGCCCAGACGGCAACCTGCAGCAACGGCTGCTTGTCCTCACAGTGATTGGGCACCTGCAGCGATTCCCAGAACCGATTCGTGATATATGTCTGCTCTGGCACGGGACTGCTGGACACCAGCTGTATGGTCGATGAGACAACATCGTCACGCACATAATTGCCAGCAGCTATCAAGACGCTCAGCTGCGTGTCGAGATGCCAGCGTGAATTGGGCGAATAGCGTTCGGCAGCCAATATCATGCCAGAGCTGCATTGCGCCTTGAATTCAGCGTCGGCCTTCTCGAGGAACAGCAATAGCTCTTTCGTCATTGTACGTATATTTTGTGCATTGATTAGCGCAAAAGATAGCTCCATCGCACGTCGCCTGATCGACACATCTGGATCCTTGAGGCACTCCAATATGGTGGTGCGATGCCGCTGCACAGCGGACGTATCGGCGTGCACCGTTCGCAGCAGTGTATTCAGCGCCACATAGCGTATATTCTTGTCCGAGTTGAGTAGAAAGCGTCCCAGGATATTCACAGCCAAGACGCGCAGGCCGCCCTCCGAACTGCAAAGAATATAATAATAGTATAGTATAATGTAGTATTCATATAGTATGCACTCTTACCGTATATCCATTATGGATAGCACTGTCTCATAGAGAATGGTGTTGCCAACATTCTTGCTGGTCTCCGTATTGGTGGCCACCTGTGCCAATATATCGTTCATGGCTTCTGAGGCATCCGGATCATTATGGCCGAGTATGCGTAATAGACGCAGGATTTTCACCTGCAGGAACGGATCGCTGACGCCGCTGACATCGTGCTCAGGTGAGTAGCCGCCCAGGATGAGGTTCTTTAGGATCCGCACCAGATTCGGTACGATCTGTTATGAAATCGAAAGAGACAGAGCGAAAGTGAAACAGTTGCAATACCTGTGCATAAACAGAGTGAACAAAGAGAGAGAGAGAGAGAAAGAGAGAAAAGGGTGTGTGTATATGTGTGGGTTAAAGCGAGTCAGAACTAGCTACTGTATAATTTTGTGCGTGTGCAAGAGTTGGAGAAAGAGCATAAACAGGAAGTTCGCAATAAAAAGTCAACTAAGTAAACAAAAGTAAATCATATCAAATATCACAGCCGGAGAGACTGTTCCAAAGAAAAGCTGTACGCAATAGCTACTTCAGAATATCGTTCGTGTTTATAGTAAAAGCTAAACAAAGGTGTTTTCAAAAACAATATACAAAATATAATATAACAAATACAACAACAAGAATATGGTGAACAGGTATATATAGGTATATACTTATGCATAAAAAGTTTAATTTGAGGCACAAATCACAATCATACCTCTCGATTTCCGCTATCCTGGCAAGCAAATTACAACAAATTTCATTTTGTGTTCGCGCGGTATTCGATCAAAAACAAACGAAGCGTTAATTTGTAATTACAAAATGTCGTTAGGTGTCAAAAGTAGTACGTGGCAAAGCGATAAACATTAACGATAACAGTTACAAAAAATATTAATTACACTTTCTTTAGCTGAAGGCGCAAAAGCTCAAAAAATGGCAGCAAAAATAAAACAAAATTAAACGAATAAATGAGATACACAAAATAAAAACTTTTGATATGGAAAAGAAACCACAATTACAATATACATTAAGAGGGCCGCCCAAAATGACTAAAATGCGGTTGGATCGGAACTCAACAAGTCAACAACAAGCCGTCCGGGGCGGTTAGTCTTTGAAGCTCTATATATATGTATACATATATAGATATATATGATCGCTTTCCACTTGAAATACCGTTAGCTGTTTGTCTGCCTGCCCGCCTTGGCGTGTCGGCCACACCCGTCCGACCGGACAACAACTTACCTTTTTGAAATGCATCAACGTATCCGAACTGTTCTCGCACATCTCCGTGATGAGCGTGACGCCGGTAATCAGGATGCCTGCAATGATATGAGATATGAGATGATTGGCCACTGATTGTACTGGAAATGGCATCAAGCGTACCGTGATTCTTCTCGCTGAGCAGCGAACGTGTGGCCGGCAGAAAGATCTCCATCAGTTCGGGCACACGGCGAATGACTCGGAATGCACACAGTGTCGCCTTCTTGCGGATGTACGTGTTGGGCGACTTCATCAGACGCTCCACCTCGCTGGCCAGGTCACGTGCCATTTCCGGCGATGCGATGGCGCCCAGTGTGCACAGCGCTAAGCCCACCACGAACTGCGTCGAGCTGTTCAAATCGCTGCAAGTAGCAAGGTCAAACACAATTAATTAGAAACAGCTTGAAAATAAACAAAGCTCATTACCTAATCGTAATTACTAGCTTTACGGGCAATTTACTTTCTATATCTAGTGATTACAACTATATAAAAAATATATACATTTATTAGTCATAAACAACCTGCAAGTGACTAATATAGTTGAGTTACGTTTATAGTACGACAAACTGGAATCTCGTATGCAAACAGGATTATTGTAATGATTATTATGCGGCTCGATTGGGCCAATTGTGATTAAGCCAATTTATAGCTCTTTCTGTAGTTCTTCCATATCTAATGGCCTTCCAGGTAATTATGATATTTGCCGAATTATTTTTATTAAACTTTCAGTTGATAGACATAGTTAGGATCAACCTCAGCAACAAATTCAGTTGACTCAGTTTAAAGTATCTTAAATAGTTACAGAGTTTATACAGATGTACGTGTATTAACTATATTATTGTATTAACTACATTATTGCTGAGCAACTCACACAGAAACGATGCTTTAGAGAGATAAATATATAAAGAGAGTGAGAGGGCCCTAAAGATGCAAAAGGTGTATTTCAGTCATTACAAAATATCCTAAGCCCATTAGAAATCTAGTTTATTTGGTTTGCTACAAAACTTAATTTCTAAATTGTAGATTAAACCTAATATATTCTATATCAATCTGCATTCTATAAAGGTCAGTAAGCCTCACAATTTCGATAGCCTAAACAAATTGAACATGATATCTATTTGATTTGCTAAACAATCTGATTTCTAGTCCCTTCATACTAACTTATCATAGCTTAATCTGAATCCCTCTTCTACAAATAGTAATACCAAGTACTAAATTCAAGCTGGGAACTAGGCTTAATGATTATATTCATCTGCTGGGTATTATCCCTGTTGAACTTACTTTTTTAAACAATTCGTAATCAGCAAATGGACATCTTGACGTTCATCCAATAACAGCATAGCACCCAGATAGCCAATCCGTTTATCTGTGAAACGCGTGCTGGCCGTCAGTTTGAGGCACTCGAGTTGGCCAAAGTGCGCCGGATAGCCGAGCATGTGTATGTACAGCAGCTTGGCAATGTTGCGACAACTGCATGCAACAATCAGTGAGCGAGCGAGCGAGAATGAGATGGAAAACAGGTTAAAATGGCCTGAGAATAATTATTAATGCAATTTACTGCCCACACTCACCGCCAGACGGAGTCCTCCTCCCGGAATGTGCTGCGTATGTAGGCGCACTCTTTGTTAACCACGGCCCGCTCCTCGGCAGCGGTGCGGGCGGCGCGTATCTGTCGTATAAGATCACGCAGTCGTGTGGGCGTCGGCATTCTGACTGCACGTGGGCGAAAAAGAGAAGATACAGAGTCAGACAGTTTGTTGAGGATGAGAGAAGAAGCAATTGCTTATGGGGATGGATGGAGGCTGGTTAGCTCTCTACCTCTTTACCTCTTTACCCTGCTTACCTCTTTCGACGGCCTCTGTGAATGCCTGCCTTATGGTGGCCATATTGAAGGCTGGATTGAATCTGTTGGGCGAAGAAAATGTGTATTAAAAGAGGTTGATTAATACATAATGTAGAGAGATGCGGGCGTAAATATATATATTGCATTTTATGCATATATATTAATGTATGTACACATATAATGTATTTATTAAAACTGCATACCCATGCTCGGAATTCATTGTGAGGCGTTGCGGCTGCTGCTTCTGCTTCTGCGGCTGTGAAGCACTTTGGTTGTGGCACGCAGACTAAACTGCAGTTGTTGTTGTTGATGGTTCTTTATCTTGATTTTGTTCTGCTGCTGCTGCTTCTTCTTCTACTACTTGCCGGCCTATGCTTTTAAGTTTGCACTCAATTGTTATTGTTGGTGTTGTTGTTTGAATTATTGTTATTTCAGCTGCGTTGGCAGCGAGGTGGCAACAGCGATCATATTCGAACTAAGTCGTTCGCCGTTTCGATCAGTTTGCAACACTCGCTGCGCAGCATACGAATAACGATAACAACAACAACAATAGCAACAACAACAATATCTATGACAGCCGGCCGCTATTCAATTGCAGTTATTTCTTCACTTGTCGCTATATCTCCCTCTCTCTCTCTCTCTCTCTCACACAGTCACTCTCCCACACACATATTTGATGCTCTCTCACTGCAAAAGTGTTAACAGTGTACATCAAACTCCAATTCACTCGCACTCTCGCATTTCCTTGATGTTGCTTTGTTTTATCATTATTAACACAAATCACAGTTCACAAACACAATTAGTAATCAACTTATTTCTGTTATGAAATGGTATACACGTACACAAATGGTGTGTGTCTGTGTGTGCGTTTGCCGTGGCTTAAACAAATATGTAGTTATGTATGTATATGTACATGTGCATATGATCTGTCGCCCGCTCAATGCAAACAAAAAGCTTTACGCTCACTTACACATGTATACGGTCTGACATACGCATGTACACATACATACATATTGGTCATATGCATGGACATTGAAGTGCCTTTTAACTGGCATCAGTTACATTCGTACAAACATACATACGGTCGTATTTATGTAGCTGGCAGTGCTAGCCAACGAAGCGCAGCGTAGCACAAGTTGAAAAAAGTAGGCTAGGTGTGTAGGGTGTTAATTAAGACGACAAAAAGGTGGAGGCTCACACAAATGCAAAACCATTGACGGTCGCTGCTACTGATGAAAATGAAATGATTAATTCAGTTGTGGGAATAATGCGAAAACCGCACTTGAAGCATGAGCTGAGCCGAATCGTCGATTAGCGCGCATCGAGTTGACAGCAACACACACATACGCACGCACACACTCACACGCGCTCAAGCAAACATCAAGAGAGGCGTATTAAATCCAATTGGAATATATGAATACAAGTTCTAATTACATTCTTTCTTGAAAATTTTATAATATGAATAACAAATAAACAATGCAATGCAAGTTCCCAAATGAATCGTTAACAACTAATTCAGCTTTTGCTCAAATGCCTGAAAGGCAGTCACAGTCACCAGTTATGGCCAAAACCAAAACAGCTGCCGTCATTGCTTCTTGGTATCGATAATTGGATATCGATATGGCACAATGGATATTGTATCGAGTGCATTGCATGCGTTGCAAAAAATATATATATATTTTTTTAGCATGAAAATACACGTATGGATTTGTGCACATTCACTGTAATCTAAAACGTATTATTTTTAAATATTGTATTACTTTCCGCCGTTGTTGAATAAAGCAATTTCATTGGAAAGCTCAAGTCCACAGACACCACATACATATACAAAAGCACACACACAGAGAGATATACATGGCACACAACACACACTCAAGCGCCCACTGAGTTAAGCGTATGCTTCTTTCTGGCCACACGAAAAGTAAAACATAAATTAATTGAATGTTGACCGCAAACACAGCAAGATGCTTTTCTTTGTTGTTTTATGTTTTGCTCGCACTAAATATAACCGTTTGCTTTATAGCCACCTGCCGCCTCCAACTTCCAATGCAAATTTTTACAACGCGACAAAAATGCTCGTAGAATGTTGATGATGAGCGCAACAGTAGTAGTAATAGTAGTTGTAGCAGCAGTGAGAGTGAGAGTGAGAGAGCGCTAGCAAGCGGTTGACATTTCGTTTTTGACATTAGCAGTGCTGTTATCGCCAGCTCGCTGTTATCGATAGACCTATTGGCCAAGACGACGGATTCGCGCATAACGTCATTTTTTTTAAAATCACAAATCCCCCATTGCCTGTTTTTGCAACTCACCTGCGATTGTTTTCCGGTGGCAAAACACTCCAATCCTGTTCATAGTACGGATACATATTTGCAGCGTGACGTTCTCGTTTGTCCCACAAGCAAACAACAGTGGACAGTAACTAAATACACAAACGCTTACACACACTAAAACTCAGCACAGTTACTGACACTGGAATAGAGTGATAAGCGGCTATGGTGTTCCACATAGGCAGTGTGCGTACGTGTTATCTAATGTACATTTATAAGTAATTACGGTTCCAATCCCCTCTCTCCATACACACACGCACACATATAGACAAACACACGCGTGCGCGAAACGCTACTGCTCCATGCGCTTTAGGATTTACCACAGCAGGGCAATCATATTCTCTTAGCGGCGTATAAGAGCTAATGGATCAGCGGATCTAGGCCAGGAGCGACAATTTGATTATGAGAGGCGGCCCGCGCAAGTGTAACTCTGGCAAAAGACTAATATCATGAAGTTCGAATCCCTCAGTCCTCGCCGACGCTTGCTGCACAGTTCAGGTGAGCGTTTGCATTTCGCTGCGCATAGATAAACCATATGCGATAACTATCGTACTAGACGCTCGCGTTGGTGGCATGGCAGCCATGGACATGGCATGGCATTCGCTCTGAGCTCTCGATGAATACACATAAACTATACTAACTTATCTTTTAGCTGATAACAAGGAAAAAAAAACCGTGAGAACAACACTTGACACACGTACATGTCTATAATAAAAAATATTCACATGTATGGATAAGGCAAGTCGTCACCGAATGACTATGCGACTGGTGATAAGTCAATGAAAGGTGAAAGCCGCTGCGCGCGCTATACACGTATATAAACACATATATGTCGGTATGATTATCCTTGTATTCAAATTGTGTGGTTTTTTTTTCGTTTCTTGTATTTTATACGTGCTTAGGGCTATGCTCTATCTAAAACAAGATGCTATTGTACAACATTGTCACTGATTTCTGTTCTGTTTCGGAATTAGTTTGCCCCTTTCGTTGCGTTTGAGTTTCGTATCGTAAGGAGCTCTCTCAATCGTTTTCTCGCGGCGGACGCACTAAGGAATGTCGCTTGATCGCCTCCACCAGCCATTTGATGCCCTCGTCAACGCCTTCGCCGGTGAGCGCAGAGACGGGTATCGTAAGGCAATCGCGTCGTCCGATCAGTGCACCAGCCTGTTGGAATACTGGCTTTATTTCCCGTACGCCCATCACATCGGGCAGATCCTGCTTGTTGGCCAGTATTAGCAGTGGCACGCCTGAGAGTAACTCGTTCTTAATCATTTTGTCTGTATAGTCAGGAATCAGGAATTAGATAGAGGATTCTTGAGATTAGGTGCACAATTACCAAAAATAACTTTCGACTCGTCCATTCGTTCCCGATCATTGGAATCTATCACATAAATAACGCCATGCGATTCCTGATAGTATTTGTCCCACAGCGACTGCAGTTCCTGCTGGCCACCCAAATCCCAGAAATTCAATCGGACGCCGTGGACATCGATGGTGCCAATGTTGAGACCGACTGTCGTTGTGATTTTAGCCGGATTCAGCCCTTTGTAGTTTTTCGTAAATTTCGTTTTGGCCGCCTCCAAATAGGTCTGTCAACAGAAAGTTGCATATTTACAGTTGCAGACGTGTCGGAGTCGAAGTCACTTACCGTTTTGCCAGCGTTGTCCAGGCCCAGAATGACGACGCAGTACTCGTCTTTCTGTGTGAGATATTTGTAGAAGCCATGCAGCAATGTGTACATTTTTGAAATGCCTTGGGGTTTTGTGCAATATTAAAATTGCATTCCAAATAAACAATAAATAAATATAAAATAAAAACACAGTCTAGGGTTGTTTCTATCCGGAATGGTGCCAGCATACGTGTGAGAATTCCTAGCTGAATTTCGAGTATGCGATCACGTCTTAAGGTATCTTGCACAAATAATAAACTTTATGTTCCGTTTAAAGTTTATTTTTCAACTCATAATAAGTCGTAATTTAAATATTTTTAAATAATGTTAATTGCAATATTCTTAAGATTCGATTGGCCAGCCTATCGATAGTTGAGTTTAGAAGCTAGCTGCCTAGCAAACAGCTGTTAGTGGCAGCTCCATGATTTGTTTACATTTTTACTACACAGTCAGGCAGCGCTGTTCAGCACTCCAGCCAAATGGAGTGTTGTAAAACAAGGCTCTGCCAGCTAACGGTTATTTAAACGTATAATAGAAGCATATGACTTAATTATTTAGTATTTTAAAATCACATAAGAAAATGTAATATGCTAAATGGTAGACCCCAAAAACCTTTATTTGTATACCAAATAATTACTGGTTATATTAAATTAGGTTCATAACTATTTCTCTAATAATGGCAATATGCAAACCGGTTCTGTACTGCTGGGGTTATCCGAAAATAGTGAAAGCGTTCTGGCATTTAAATCGAATAGAGCAACACATATTGTCCTAAGAACATCAGTACATTTATCCATCCATACGTTAAAGGGGTCACCCGACACATCTCCAAGCATATTGCGTACATCTGATCCGCTCACCGGCGGCTTGTATGATTTCATAGTTTCTTTTCGCGCCTCACTGGACTGAAGTAGCTTATCATCGGCCTCATCCAATGATAAACCCTCAAATCTATAGACAATTAGTTAAGCAGTGTCGATATTTAATATATAGGTTATACTTGTTAAAATGATAATTGTAAGTGCCAACGGGAATCTCTTTAACGCATACTTTTGACTTATTCTTTCCCTGTGGGCAGGGAGCGAATTCCATATTATAGCACATTTTACGCGGATCACTGGAAGTGGGCCTAGTTAAACTCTGATATATTTGGTATATGCCGTGCACTTACTTAAGAAATGCTAAATTAATGGAACATGCATCGGCTGCGCCTACACCCTCATCTATTACCACTCTGAGGACATCATCCATATTGCAGGAGGCCAGTAGAGCTCTGGTTATAAAAGTTCGGGCTGCTGGCACAAGTTTCGCTCATGTTATTTTGCTTGCATAATTATATATGTACATATTTATGTGCACTTACGCGTTCTGCCGCTGCGTAGATTCTTGGCACATATCGTATTGATGGTAAAAACGAGACCATGATGATTTTCGCTAAACGTATAGCCTGGCAGGAGGCCAGCATAGCAGAGTGACATGAAACGCTCCTCTTTGACTTTATACTTTCCCTGCGGCTTGTCACTAATGATGTGTGCTACCACAATATAATACTGGTTCATAGTCTCTATCAGAGCATCTTCCGTATGGCCCATCACACGCTGAGTAGTAATCATATATAGGGTCTGATCGCGTGAAGGTAGAGTCAAGTTTCTCACTTACGCAATGCTTCTGGTTTAATACGATTGAGGAGCAGCCGCAGGATGCTTTGGCTGCGGGACATAACATGTTCTGCGGTAAAATGGCGTCCATTTGTCTCAAAAATAACTGTAAAAGGTAAAAATGTCTCATATTGTTGTCGATACGATAATAGCATCGCGCGGTCACTTTGAAGTCAGCTTAGAGAGCAACAAATTCGAGCTTGTCATTCCCTCGGCTCGCTTCCATACGGCATAAGCTGATGATAAGCTGACACCGTCAGGGGGCCAAGGCTAGTGCAAATTTGCGTGCATTTAATTGGTCAACACATTATCGGCAGCTGCGCCACAGCTTAGAACACAGCTCACTCACTCAGTCACTCGGCCGAATGATAAACAAACAATAATAACAAAATATCGAAATTGAAGTCGAATTAGCAGCATTCAGAGCGAAGGTGAAGCCAAAGCAAACCCTTGCACCTGAACTAGCGCTGGACTTGGGGAAAGTCCAGTTACAATAAATACTCGGCACACACTCACACACACTCTCACACATGCATGTATGTGTGTGTGCATTTAGGCATATTGGCCACTAGCGAATTCGCGAACAAAACAAATAACAGCAACAGTGTCAAGAAAACGGAACTAGTTCAATGACTGTGCGCTGCACGGCCAATGTGTTTTTACAGTTGTAATTGCCTAAAGAAGCTAGTTAGAGTTCGAATTAGTTTTATTTTGAAATAGAATTGCCACCAACTGCCACAAATTAAACTAAACAAAAATGAAGCTAAAAACATAGCTGTGGGGCGTGACCGACTGTATGATGCTTGTTCACGGGCAAATGAATTAAAAAGCGAAGCTTAAGTTAAGATCAACACTAATCCAGTTGCTAATTTGGGTACTCCCAGAAGACTTACAATATATTTTTTTATTCTGATCTGTTAAATTTGAAATATATCACTAAAGCTGGGGAAGATATCATCTTTCCTTAATTCCGAATTTCACTGGTCATATCAGTATTCCTAGTCTTCATATGGACAGACGAACGGATATGCCCAAAGCGAATGTACTCTGTTCAGATCTTGAACGAGTATTATAAAGCCAGGCGCTAAGTTTAATTGATAATTGTTAATTGCGTTATTAGCGAGTGATTGCTGTTGGTACTGCTACACTTGCAGAAATGCACAATTATGTGTGAATATATTTGCGTGAATCGTATTTGGTGTTTGTCATTGAGCATTGACAACTTGCAGCGAGTGCGAGCCATACGAAAAGAATCTAATAAATTCGACACGCAACGACCTCATCGTTAGTGTGCTGCTGACACAGACCTCACAACAAAATTATATTGAAAGTAAATATATATAATTGCATCTTGGTTTCTGCTCATAATCATTATCATTAATAATTCGCTGTCAGTCGATGCCAAACGCATAACGTTGTCATTAGCCTCACAGCAGATTGCATATAAATTTTACTCACATGTTCGAATTCCACCTCGGCGCCGTCAGCCACGCCCTGCAGTTCGAGTATGTACTGAGGAAAACTGGCTTTTACTGATGCCAAAGTTTCGTCATAGATTTGTTCTGTTTAAGTTCGATTAGAGGGGCTAAAATTCAATTGGATATCGCACAGGTACTCACTGCCCTTGGGGGTGTTGTAGAGCGGTAATAGGCTTTGGTTCAGAATCTGACATTGAGTCTGAAGATTTCTTATCATCGAGCCAAATGTGCGACCCTAAATAGCAAAGAAATGAGTAACAGCTCTCTGGATGTGATACGATTATCCAAATCCTACTCACCATATCGAAACCGACCTCGTAGTGGGAGCCACGGGTGTAGAGTATGGGTATCGCTTGACGACGAACGTGCGGCTCGGCCGAGCATTTCTTGCATTTTTTAGCCGGATTGTCCATTCTTATATTAAGGGGGTTATTTTCTTAAAATCTACAATTTTGAACAATACTAATGAATTTTGAACAATACTAAACAAGCCAAAATTTAACTAAAATTCTAATTTTAAGCCTGAAATTGAGGTAAACAAAAATGGCTACTGAGCGATTAATAGAGATTATTAAATAAAATAATAAATGTTTAATTGTTTTTGCTTGTTTCAAATATTACTCATATAAATTAAAATGTACATTAATGGGTAGGAATTTATTGATAACTCTGCAAGGCTTTCCCACTGTCGATAAGACCAGTTGCTTTCAGTTTTAAGCTTTTTATATAATCTATTTACAGAAATTGCTAATTACGGTCGCCCAGCGAAACAATATTCATAATACATTTTTCTTTCTAGATTTGATGTTTACATTGAATAAAACTTCTGATGTGGAGCGTATAAATTTGTATAATTGCATAATATTCTAATTTTAATCATGGTCTCGTTACCTGATATATCTAGTTATCATTATCAATAAGTGCTGCCAATAACCGTTAGTAGTTTGAATACGTATGTATTCTATCAGTATTAGTGCTATAGTGCTTTACTTTATATCGATTAATCGAAAGGATGCCAGTGGCAGTTGTTGCCTCTGACATTTCGCTATCGTATATTTGATATCAGTATTAGTACGATAGTGCATTATTTTATATCGATTAGTCGAAAGGATGCCAGTGGCAGTTAAATATTGCAACGGTCATTTCGCGTGCCGTTGAACCCTGACAAAGTGATTCATTAATGATTAATTGTTCGTTAATGATTAATTGTCATGAACATTGAGATGTTTTTTATTTATTTATTTTATATTTTTGGATAAGTAAACCTATTGAGACCAGTAATGTAGCCAAAATAAGGGGAACAAAAATGATTAATGGCAATTTCTGTTGTGTTCTTTGTTTTTCGTAAAAGTAAATAAAAAAACAAATGTTTGATATAATAATATATATGATCAATTATTATGAATCACGCGTACAGATTGTGCTCTTTATAGAATTGATATATTCATTTATACATAGTATATAGATATACAC